TTGTGAGTAGTGGCAGGAGCCCTCCACTGCCTGCCTGACGGGACAGCATCCACTGGGCTCTAGGGGGACCATGGTGTTTCCTCTTCCTGGGACCTGCCTTCCCCTAGGGCCTTGATTTCACAAAACATCTGGGGAATTGGGTTCAGGGCCTCTGAACTCAGCTCTGATGTCCTGAGTTCTGAGGAGGTTTTCTGCCGACAGTTTTCAAAGCATCTCCCTTGGTGAGCTCTCTTGGCCATCCCTGTGCCCTGTGAGCTGCCGGCAGGGATTGTTCTGTGGTCCCCATGAGGAAGTGGGGACCCAGAGAGAGAACATGACATGCCCAAGGTCATGCAGCACATCAGGGTCATGTCAGAGCCCCTGAGGCTCAGCCCTGTGCCCTCTACTCTCCACCTGGGTGGACCTCAGTCCCCAAGGGGTGCTGGTGGTGGTGGTGATGGTGGTCCTGGTGGTGGTGTTTATGGTGATGATGGTGGTAATGGTGCTGGTGATTGTGGTGATAGTGATGATGGTGGTGGTGGTGATGATTGTGGTGGTGGTGATGGTAGTGTGGATGTGGTGCTGGTGGTGGTGGTGGTGATGATAGTAGTGATGGTGATAGTGATGGTTGTCGTGGTGTTGCTGGTGCTGGTGATTGTGGTGCTGGTGGTGGTGATAGTGGTAGTAGTGGTTGTGATGGTGGTGGTGATAGTGATGGTAGTGATGGTGGTGGTGATGATCGTGATGGTAATGCTGGTTGTGATGATGATAGTAGTGATGGTGATAGTGATGGTTGTCATGGTGTTGGTGGTGCTTGGTGCTGGTGATTGTGGTGGTGGTGGTGTTGTGATGGTGGTGATAGTGAATGGTAGTGGTGATGATGGTGGATGGTGGTAATTGCTGGTTGTGATGGTGGTGATGGTGTGGTGGTGGTTGTAGTGATGGTGATGGTGGTGATGGTTGTGATGGTGATGGTTGTGATGGTGATGGTGGTAGTGATGGTGGTGGTGATGGGAGTGATGGTGATGGTGGTAGTTGCTGGTTGTGGTGGTGATGGTGTGGGGTGTGGCGGTGGTGGTAGTGATTGTGATGGTGGTAGTGGTGGTTGTGATGGTGGGGGTGGGGGTGGTGGTGGTAGTGATTCTGATGATGGTGATGGTGCTAGTGGTGGTTGTGATGGTGATGGTGGTGATGTGGTGGTAGTGATGGTGGTGATGGTGGTAACGGTTGTGATGGTGGTGGTGGTGGTTGTGATGATGGTGGTGGTGCTGGTCCTGGTGATTATGGTGATGGTGGTGATAGTGATGGCAGTGATGGTGATGGGTGGTAGTGGTAGTTGTGATGGTGATGGTGGTGATGGTGTGGTGGTGGTGGTAGTGATTGGTGGTGGTTGTGGTGATGGTGATGGTTGTGATGGTGATGGTGGTGGTGGTGATGGTGTTGGTGGTGCTGGTGATTATGGTGATGGTGTGGTGATGGTGGTGGTGGTGATGGTGGTGGTGGTGATGTGATGGTGATGGTGGTAGTGATTGTGATGGGTGATAGTGGTACTGATGGTGGTGGTTGTGTTGGTAATGGTGATAGTGGTAACGATTGTGATGGTGATGGTGTGATGCTTGTGTTGATAATGGTGATGGTGATGATAATTGTATGATAATGGTGGTGGTGTGTGGTGACGGCGGTGATGCCACGTGGTGGTGATGTGGTGGTGATGGTGGTAGTGATGTGGTGATGATGGTGATTATGGTTGATGGTGGTGATGGTGGTACTGATTGTGATGGTGGTGATAGTGGTGATTATGGTGATGGTTGTGTTGGTGATGATGGTAATTGTGTAGTGATGGTGGTGATGGATAATGGTGATGATGATGGTGATGGTTGGTGGTGCTGTTGTTGACAATGCCCTGCAGGAAATGGGGTGGGGCCCTGGTCTTGGTGCCACAGACCACAGCTCCTGTGCAGATGGGGTTCTGTTGGGTGCTGACCTTGGGACCCCACACTCTCCACAGGTACATCCCTCGGAGCGTTCTGTCATCCTCATCAACTTCTGCCTGTCCATCATCTCCTCCAATGCCCTCATTCCTCATCGGGCAGACCCAGACCCGAAACAAGGTAGGCAGCCTTGTGTCCTGTCATGCACCTCCCAGCATCCTCGGGCGGTGAGGATGAACCCCAGGAGGGGCCTGGGCCGTGGGATTCCTGGGAAACTCAGGCAGGCGGGTATGGGCAGGAGGAGGCTGCCCCAGCTACAGGGAGTTCCCGCCCTCTGCTGTGGCTGCTGGAGCCTGTCAGGGGCTGGTCAGCCGGCTGGAAGGGCAGCTTGTATCCCAGTGTTTCTGTTGGACTTGCCCTTTAGGATGAGCCTGCTTCAGCCCTGCCCAGCCTGCTGTGGGCAGTGGACTCGGCCTCAGCTCAAGCTGCCTCAGGGCTGGGGAGTGGCACCCAAGAAGAGTGGCACTATGGTGACAGGAGGCTCCCATGGTCCACCCTCTCACCCCCACCCTCGCCAGCCTTGAAGCTGGCAGCTCATGGTGGGCCCCTGCCTGCCCTCCCCAGACCTGCCATCCCTGGTTCCTCCCTGTGGTCTCCACGCCCCATCCCACTAATGTGGCAGGCACAGCCTTTGGCTGGGGGCCTCTGCTTCCTCAAGGGGCCACACTGACAGTGTAGGAGAGAAAATAAAGCAAGAGGCCCGCAGGGAGACGGAGAAGGCCTGGGCCCAGGGCCTGCCGTGTGCTGTGGCAGAAGCTCAGGGCCGCGGCGTGGGTGAGGCTGCCTGCCACTTGCTGTGTGTCCTCGGGGTGTGACATGCCCTCCCTGGGCCTTGGGCTTACTACCTCCTGAATGCATGGGCAGGCACCTGGACTTTAAAAGGCCCCTGCTTAGCATTTGCTGTGGCTATGAATGGTGCTGAGGAAGACGGAGAGGGAGGGTCTGTTTGTCCCAAGGGGGCTTAGACGGTCAACAACCCATCTCAGGGCAGGGACCAGGTGATCTCTGGATTGCCTTCTGCCTGGGGACCTGGTCGGGTCCCAGCGAGGGTGCTGGGTGCTGGGCCTCCAGCTGCAGACAGGCACTCAGTGGGGGCAGGCGTGGGGCCGGGGAGCACCTGCCCAGCCTGTCCTGCCCTCGGCCCCACGCAGGTGGTGTGCACGCTGGTGGCCGCCTTCCTGCACTTCTTCTTCCTGTCCTCCTTCTGCTGGGTGCTCACCGAGGCCTGGCAGTCCTACATGGCCGTGACGGGCCACCTCCGGAACCGCCTCATCCGCAAGCGCTTCCTCTGCCTGGGCTGGGGTGAGCCGCGGCCTCCCCGACCCTCCTGGGCAGATGTTCTTCCTCCTGGCCCCGACTGCTTGTTCTGCCCTGGCAGCCCCTCCTCTCCCCATGCCCTGTGGACCCCTGGGGACTCAGTTGCTGCTTGGGTGGGCTTCTCCTTCTTCTCCCTCTGGGCCCTCGTTCCTCCATGGAGTCGCCAGGTAAAGCACAGGACACCCAGTTCCCTTTCATGTCTAGATAACAGAAACATTTCTAGCACGAGTATGTCCGGTGCACTGTTTGGGACTTACATATACAAAAAGATGATTCCTGATTTCTCTTCGAGTCAGCTGTGCCGGGCACCCTGTGCGTTCTCTGCTCATGGGACCGCCCCGCGCCCAGCTCCCCAGGCCCTTGCCTTGTTCATCTCCTGCCCCATCTCTTGCTCAGCCCCATCCTCTGTTGGGGGCTTCAAAAGCCTGGCCCCTGCCCTCCAAGGCAGGGCTGGGAGGAGGTGGAGGTTGGCTGGGGACTTGGGTGGGGCCAACGCCCTTTCTCTGCTCCTTCAGGGCTCCCTGCACTGGTGGTGGCCATTTCCGTGGGATTCACCAAGGCCAAAGGGTACAGCACCATGAACTAGTGAGTCGGGGCATTGGGGGTGTGGTGGATGGCCGCATGGCCCCCAGAGCCTTCTGCTGCCCTGGAGGGTGAGGGCTGGCCATGCCCTCCCCCTGTGTGACCCTGACCATCTCACAGAGGCTCAGGGAGGGTGGAGCCCCAGGAGCTGGAGGCTGAGCCCCCTGGGCAGCCCCTCCCTGTTGGTCAGCCAGCTTCACCCTGGCAGCAAGCAGTGGGCAGTGGCACTGAAAGAAACCAGGCTTGCAGGGCCCCCCTTGGTCAGTTGGTCCATTAGCCACTCTGAGCCTCAGTTTCCCCATCTGCTCGGTGCTGATGAGAGGGAGGGCTATTTGAGCCACAAGCGCTCTGGGCACAGTGGGCACACCCCTACAGCAGGCCTGTGGCAGGCAGGGCAGGGGCCGGAGGCTTATTTCACAGATGACATTGCTAAGACCCTGAAGGGTCAGCTCAACCAGGTCCTTGGGGCCTTAAATGGCAAGCCAGGAAGCTTGCTGTCATCCCAAAAGCAGTGTGGTTCCCAAGGTGGGGAGAGAGGGTCTGGGGCTCAGGATGGGCAGAAGAACTGGGGTGGGGGAGGGGAACCGAGGCTTGGAGGGAGGGCCTGGCTGCAGGGAGGGGAGCAGTGGGAAGCGAGAGGCAGGAGGAAGTGACCGATGCTGGCTGAGTGGGAGGACTGGAGCAGGCCTGGCTCACTCTGGAGCCCCTGGGAACAGGATGTGGCACCCCCTGGAGCCCTGCCCTGAGTGGCCATAGGGAGTGGACATAGCTGAGGGCCCAGGGGGTGAGTGCTGAGAGGGAAATCCAAACACTGTCTCCAGAGATGAGAGAAGCAAACACCTGGCCTGCCGGAGCCAGGGATGGATCAGGAGGGGATGGGGACATTGAAGTGGGGTTCTGAAAGATGAAGAGGAGTTTGTTTGACAGACGACATGGGGTAGGCTGCTCAGGGCAGAGGGAAGAGTCCTTATTGGGTTTCAGATTTCCATGGGCACCACAGGTGGTGTCCAGAGATCTGGGGAATGTGGGGCTACTGACTGGGTGGGTGGTGGGGAGGATGCAGACCAGATGTGTGAGCATAGGACCAGGTGTTGAGGCCACGGGGCCTGAGCCTTGTGGGCCAGGGACCTAGCCCCGGCATTCGAGTATCACGTCAGGAAGGAAGGTCTGCCAGAGACCCCAAGAGAAGAGCCGGGAAGGGTCCAGGCCTGGGGAAGGAGGGGCAGTCAGGTGACCTTTGCCCTGCCAGCCTGGTGCCCCTGCTGTGTGGCTCTAAGCAGATGGGTCCCCCACTCTGGTACTATCCCCATCTGTAAAATGGGAGTGACGATGACTGCCTAGGGGTCCTGAGGATTCTAAGTCTAAAGAGCGGGTGTGACCTGCCCTGCACGCAGAAGGCGCTTAATAAGTGCTAGTTTTCTTCTGCCACTTCCCAGCTCACCTCCCCTACTGAGAGGCCGGTAGTGCCCCTCTGCACGCCCCTCTGCACGTGGGCGGTGCTGATGGCCTGTCTCCTCCCCAGCTGCTGGCTCTCCCTGGAGGGAGGACTGCTCTATGCCTTCGTGGGACCGGCTGCTGCCGTTGTGCTGGTACTGACCCGCCTGGACCCCACTCCCTGCAACCCTGCCCGGGCCCCCCACCTGCCTCCTGGGCCTCGGTGCTCTCTCCTGCCCTAGGCTGTGCACCTGCTGTCCCTTCAGGACGGCCCTCATCACCAGGGGGTGGGGGTGCCCACAGCCCCGCTCTGACCTGCCCTCAGCGTGCGGTGTAGGGGCTGGGCCAGGGTAGTGACCCTTCACACCTGTGAGTCTCAGCTTGCCTGATTATTGGGCGCCAGCTGTGTACCTGCCAGGAGATCCCCGCGGGTGTGGTGAGTGGCATGGGAGGAAGCTGGGGACGGACAGGTGATGCGAGCAGCGGGGAGCTGCAGGCTAGACCTGGGTTGTGGGTGTCTGGCCCCAGAGCGCCAGATGTGAGGCTGGTGATCAGGGCTGCTTGCCCCTTTGGGGGCCCCAGTGAGGACCTTCCCTGTGTGGGTCCTTGGACTTTCCTTCCCACTCTTCTCCCACCTTTGTGTGGAGGAAGGTAAGACTGTGGCAGGTGGCATGCAGGGTCACTGTCCCGGGGTCACAGATGAGCTGCAGCAGACTGGGGGACCTGCCTGGGGTCACTGGCCTCTACTGGGTCCAGCTCTGAGCCTGCTTAGCCAGTCCCCATCCCTCTACTCTGGCAGAGCACCAGGGTTCACACCCAGCATCACCTCCCCTCCCCTCTCCCCCAGGAGAGGCCATCCTTGTCCAGTAATTCCTGCCATCATGAGTGGTGTCTCTGCAGGGCCACACCCCCTTCTAGTGGGGACTCAGGCACAGGCTGGGCCCAGCAGAGAAACGTGCATGGGGGGTGAGGGGGTGCTAGCCCTGTAGGGGCAGTTGGGGAGCCTAGTGGGGGTTGGAGGGGCAGTGGGGCGCCATCCCTGAGCAGCCCCAGACCCCTCCTCACAGTCCTGGCTGTGGAATCCCACCTTCTTTATTCCTTCCTCCAGCCAGGAGGCAGGGGAGGAGTGGGGTACCTTCAGGACCTCTAGAGCTGGCGTCAGTGCCATCTGGGCAGTGCCCCAGGCGCCTGGGGATGGAGGTTGTGGGAAAGGGGACAGAGACAGGAGCCCTACCCCCGTACACCCCTCCTCAGGATGTGTCAGGAAGGCAGTCTAACTCAGGCGGCTGTGGGACCTGAGCCCCTGCAGCCCCTCCTGTCCTTGGGACCACGTGGTGCAGGCCAGACAGAGCCTACTGCAGGCAGTGGCCCGTCACTGGTGCCCATCCTCTCTTCTCTGCTCCAGCCACATCAGAAAACTAGGCTGCCCAGGAAAGAGGCCACCGCCCATCAGGCTGGCCAAGGCTGTGATGTGGGTGTCTGGGAACTGCATCCATTGTGGAAAGCAGGCCGGGTGTGTGGTCGTGAGCCCTGAGCTGGAGGGCTGCACAGTCTACCACCCTGGTCTTCTGGACGTGAAATGCCTAGTTCAGGGGTCCATGGAGTCCTGGGTCTCCCAGCCTCCAGCTTCTGGAACCTGGGCCTGAGCAAGTCAGGCCTTGCCCCTCGGGGTCCTGGCAGCATCTTTCTGCAGAGTGGGGATGCAGGAGGAGGGCCTCAGGGAGCCTCTGGCACTTGGGGAGCAGAGAATATGGCCTGAGACTCCTCCTTCCCCTTAGCAGAGGAGGCCGGGAGACAGGAGGAGACCCCCAGATGCTCAGGGCCAGTGGCTTCCCCGGGGTGCTCCGGGAACAGCTCTTGTCTTGAGTGGTAGCCTGGACAGTGACAGGCATGGGAGACTCATATTGGAGCCCAAGAAGAGCCTCCCTGGGTGCAGGCGCCCAGCCGGGGCCCTTACGGGGTGGGCAGTTAGTTTGATGATAGAAAAGGGAGATCAGGAAGGAAGTCTAGAGAGAGGAGGTGGCCTGCCCAGAGCAGAGAGCCAGGAGGCGTGTGGCCCCAGGGAGAGCCAGGATTGGTGTCTCTTAGGCAGGTTTCAGCTGCAGGCTGGCAAGGGCCTCTGGACCCTGTGGGTGCGGAACTCCCTGGTGGAAGGGATGCAAGGAGCACAGCAGAGGTGCTGACGGTGCGGGTGACACACAGAGAGGGCCCTGCATGGTTGGCAGCTGGGCTGGAGGTCACCTGACATCACGTCAGGCACTGGGGTTCCTGTGATGGAGGCACGGGAGGTGACCCTGAGTGTGGTAGGGGGTCATGGTCAGCATAGCCATCGTCAGTCCAACCAATGTCGGCCCTGAGCCTACGGCGGCCCCCACCCCCACACTCCCACCCCTCTCTACCTGGCAGGTGAACATGGTCATTGGGATCCTGGTGTTCAACAAGCTCGTGTCCAAAGACGGCATCACGGACAAGAAGCTGAAGGAGCGGGCAGGGTAGGACCAGGGCCACGCGGCTCCTTGCCCACCCAGCCCCGGGTCCCGGGGGATGGAGGATGCTCCATGCCCAGTCCGAGACTGCATGTCCAGGGACCCTGGAGCGGGTGGGGAAACGGAGGCACTGAGTACAGAGGCCCCTTAGGCTGAGCCAGCCCCTCTCACTGTGCCACGGTTGCTCCATCTGACCTGGGCAGGGTGGACCCCGTAAAGTCCTCAGAAGCGGTGAAACTGATTGTGCAGGGACACCCCACCTCTGCCCGGCTCACAGGGTGGCAGCAGGGCACCCCCAGTGCTGGGTGCTGCGGGTGCCTGGCCTCCCACTCCCCTCCCACAAGGTTTGCTCCATGGCCGGGGAAGGATGTCACCTGTCCATGCAGAGACTCCCTGTCCTTGTGGGATCTGCATCATGAGGAGGACGGTGCAGGAGACAGGTGGAGCTGATGCTCCTCCCTCCGGGAAACCCAAGCCCAGGGAGTGCTCTCAGCACAGCAGCTGACAGGGCCCAGGAGCAGAGTGGAGGCGCTTGGGATGTGTGGCTGCGCCCACCTTTCAGGGACAGGGACAAGGTCCTGGGCACAGGGGGGAAGCTGCGGGGTGTGGGGAGCTGACTAGGGTGGACGAGCCCTTCTTTGTCCTCCCGCCCCCCCGGCCCCCCGCCCCTCACCTCTGCCTGCTTCTCTGTGTCTTCCAGCCCTGGCTGGTGTCTGTGTGGGCCCCTCCCCTCCGTGCCAGTCTTGCTTGGATGCTCGGTCTCTCTCTGTCTCTCTCTGTTCTTGTCTCTGTCTCTTCTTGGCTCCTCCTGTCCCCAGTGAACAGAAGCTTCAGGAAGCCTTTCCCTTGGGTGCCTGTGGGTTCTGGTCCTGGTTAGGAACCAGCCGAGCTGGCCTCTGATGCTGAGTATGTGGAGTGGCCCTGGGGTCTGTCACTCGGGGTGGGAGTCCTGGTGCTTTGTCTCCTGGCCTGGGAAATGGAGGCTGGAACAGATTCCTCTAAGGCTTTGCCCCACCTGCCCCCGTAACACCCTGTCCCACACTGCTCCCGAGACAGCGGTCACACTCAGAAGAGGTCCCCAGGGCTGCACATCCGGGGTCTGAGCATGGCAGACTGCCTGCCGTTACCTGGTCGTAAAAGCAGCAGTGATCTCGGGTGCTCACCCAGTGTGGATGTTTTGTTTGCTGCTTAGAATAACCATGGTGGCAGATTCTGTGGTTATGTTCCCATCTTACAGCTGAGTAAATGGAGGTTTAGGGAGGGTGAGTGACTGGTGGAGCTGAGCTTCCAGCCCAGGTGGGCACACACTAGAGCCAAGCCCAGGCGGCCCGTACTCTGCCCACCTTGCCCTGTGTGTGCCACGGGCCAGCTGCGTGAGGTGCACACATCCCGGGAGCACACCCAGACTCGCCTGCGTGGCCGTGTAGGATTCGCTGCCCACGTAGACAGGGATGGAGGTTGGGGTGGAGGGGTGCCCAGTACACTGGTCTATGTGTGCACGCACGCCCACACATGGGCGCACACACGTGGGCATACACATGCCAGGAGGACCTGCACGAGGTCCCTGCCCAGGTCAGCTCCCTCTCAGACACACGGGAAGGGGAGCGGAAGGTGCAGTGGCCTCGTTTTGGAAATTTTGCCACTTTGTGCAGACGGAGTCAGGGTCTACCCTCAGTTGAGCACAGGAGCGCCATGCTGCCTCCCCCCACGCCCGCCACGTGCAGCTCACAGCCCTGCCCACCACAGTGCCCACGCCCAAGGCCTGAGTTCGTGAAGTGGCCGAGAGCCCCCAGGACCATCCCTGTCGGAGCCCAGGCTGGACTCCTGAGTGGCTGGTTTTGCACTTTGGCCCCGCCCCTCCCGCCTGGGTTCCGAGAGCAGAGCGCTTGCTTTTGTTTCAGCCTTTTAATTTCACTTGCAGTCAGCCGCCCCCGCACCCCCTCGGGTGCACCCTCAAGTGTGCCGAGTGTGGAGTCCTCTCTGCCGCCGATGCCACCTCCGACGCCACCAGTAACGCCATGTTAGTGCCTCTGCTGCCACCTCCCTCCTAGGCCCACCCTTGGGGCTCTGCGCTCTCTGAGTCACCTTTTGTTTGTTTTATGTTTATCTTTCATTTCTTCCTTTTCTGCCATCCACTCTGGGTTTCTAGGCCACTCCTGTCCCCCGACCCACTGCCCCCAGCTCCTCCTTCCGTCCTGCCCATAGGCCTGCTCTAGGCCTGGCAGCACAATGCACCGTGGGTGCAGGGCGTGGGGCCGGGCCTGGGCACGAGTGGAGTGCAGCTGTGGGCCGGGCTGCGGTTGGGAAGGAGCGGTCAGTCCTGTCCTTCCAGGGCCCGAGTGTGTGCCAGGCTGCAAGCTGCGGTTTGTTGGTTCTGGAGTTGAACCCCCACCCCCACCCCTGGTGCTGCTGGCATGGAGCCCAGGATGGCTGATGCTTGTGCAGGGGTCTGCGCCTGACAGCCCCACAGCTCTGTGGTGGGGCGAGGAGACTGGCCCTGGCTTGCCTAATGGGAAGCCTCCCTCCCTGTGAGTGCACGTGAGCACGCATGTGAGAGCATGGCCAGGTGTGTGTGCACGCATGTGAGTGTGCATGCGTGCCAGTGGGTGTGTGCGCGCCTATGCAAGAGTGTCACCACGTGTGTGCGTGTGTATGAGTGCATATGTGAATGTACATGGGTGTGCGTTCGTGTGGGAGAGCATGACCAGGTGTGTGTGTGTGCGCACGCCCATGTGAGAGCACTTACTTTCGTTCCAGGCTTTTAATTTCGCTTGTAGCCTACTGCCCCAGTACCCCCTTGGGCACGCCCTCAGGTGTACTGAGTGTGGAGTTCTCTGCTGCTGCCACCTCTGGGGCCACAAGTGTGCAAGTGTGTGTACAGGTGTGAGAATATGCCTGGATGTGTGCAAGCATCATCTGTGTGAGTGCAACCCAGTGTGCGTACATGTGAGCGTGCATCTATGTGTGCATATGTGTGAGCGTGCATTTATGTGTGCGTACGTGTGAGCGTGCATCTGTGTGTGTACCTGTGAGCATGCATCTATGTGTGTGAGTGCGGCCCAGTGTGTGTATGTGTGAGCGTGCATCTGTGAGCGCAACTGGTGTGCCTACGTATGAGCATCTATGTGTGTGTGAGCGTGCATCTGTGTGTGTACCTGTGAGCGTGCATCTGTGTGTGAGTGCAACCCAGTGTGTGTACGTGTGGGTGTGCATGGTGTGTGAGTGCAACCTGGTATTTTGTGTGGGCGTGTGTATATGTGTGTGTAATCGGGCATGTGCCTGTGTGTGTGCAAGTGTGTGCATGTGGGTCTGCATGTGAGTATTGTGTATGTGGGAGTGTGTTTATAGGTGAGTGTGTGAATGCGTGTGTGTGTGTGCGCGCACATGTGTGCCTGAGAGCAAGAAGCAACCAGGGCCAAGGGAACGGGGAAGGAAGTGCTCAGAGTCAGTGGCTGCTCTGCTGGCTTGGGCAGCCTTAGGGGCTGTGTGTAGGGAGGGCGGTTTGGGCTCAGGTGGGTGGGGCCAGTTGGCCTAGAGTGTCTGGGCTTTCCAGCCTGAGGGGTCATCTTGTCCATGCCCTGCCTCCCTCAACCCAAGGTGAGCCTTCATGGCCGCACCCCTAGGCGCATACCCCTGTACCCTCCTGCTTTGCTCCCTGAGCCAGGCACTAGGGGCCCAGGGTTTTAGGAGCCATGGGAGAAAGAGCTCTGGGCCCTGGTGCTGTGCAGATGCGAGTCGGGGTGAGGCTAGCCTGTGTGGGAGGAGTAAGCTCAGAGTTGGGGTGGCGTCCACACTGGCCTGCCAGGCCCTGGGAAGTTCCGGTTCTTTGGGGCTAGTTTGCACTTGCTTTGTCTCAACACCAGGGATGGGGCGGAGGCTGTGAGATCGGCCCTGTCTCATTCCATCAGAGAGAAGCGGAGGCCACACAGATGTTCCCTTTAAAGTTACTCAGAGCCTCTCCCCACACCCCGGGCACCTGCCTCTCCAGACGGGAGCAGGTGCGGTGCAGCTGGGCACTCCTGGCCTCCCCCTTCAGCGGCTCCCGGGCCTTTCTGCTTCCTTCCCACCGCGCTCCGCAGAAATGTTTCCAAGCTACAGAGGCCGAGCTGCGGTGTGGGAGTAATTTACGGGGCCCCAGGCCGCCTGCCAACGGCAGCAGATCAGGCTGTAAATGTCAGGCCTGGAGACCCAGCCCCCTGTTGGGCAGCAGCGGGGGTGACCGGCAGCAGGCAAAGAAGTCTCCATGGGGAGCGAGGCCCTGCACCCCCTCTCAGAACTTGGGTGAGGAGAGGAGTCCAGGGTCCTGGCTCAAAGAATACCAGCTTTGGAAGGGAGAAGAGAGATTCTCCAGCTTATAGCCTATCATGGGAAAACCAAGGCCCCAGCCGAGGGGTCCTACTCTGTGTCAGTGAGTCATTCCTTGGCTCTGTGAATATGGATGGAGGGCCTCCTCATCACAGGCTCTGTGCCAGGTGCAGGGACACAGCAGTGAGTGACAGCCGGGGCCCTGTCTGCTGCTGCAGCCTGGAGGGAGTGGCACCATCATGGGCAAGGGAGGCCTCTCTGGCCACCTAAGTTCCCAGGCAGGGAGTGCGGGGGGAGCAGGGGTAGGCTCTCCAGGGCCAGAGGAAGGGCGAAGGAGGTTGGGGGCCTCTAGCAGACTCCAAAGCTGTGCAGGGAAGAGGGAGTCCCATGAGGCTGTTAGAGCCCATCCTATGCCCAAGAGCAGGAGGGGCAGCTGTGTGGCCAGGGCCACCGTACCCTGAGACCTGGGAGGCACTGGCTGTGCAAGACCAGGCCCTCTGTCCTGGTGCTGCTCCGGGCTCTGGGCCTGCACGTGTCCTAGCCATGGGTTTGTGGTAACACCTGAGGCTGGGGCCAGACAGATCACCACCAGACAGCATCACTGAAGAAAAGCAGGCCCAGGCCTGGGGTAGAGGGCTGGGCGGAGGAGGGGAGGAAGAGAGTCCAGGAGGTGGCATGGGGGGCTGGGCCTGCTGGGAGGTCCCAAGAGATGGGGACACATTTCCCTTGGGGGCTGGGCCCTACACGGATGTCCCGCACTAGGGGTGGGAGCAGCACTGGTGGCCAAGCTACGCTGGAGAGGGCTGAGGAGCAGAGCATGCGGTTTTGGGGGCCCTTGTCTTGGCAGACTTCAGGTCATTCCAGCATCTCTCCTGCCAGCCCTCATGTGCCAGCTCCTGCCTGGCATTCTGACCCAGAATGGATCCCCTACTCCCTATTCAGTCCTCCTGCCCCAGCTCCCCCTGCCTGCAGGGCAATCCTGTGCAGGAGGAGGGGAGGAGGGAAGGAGGGAAGCTGGCGCCAGCACCCATTCCTGGTGGCGATGACAGTCCTGCAGGCTGTGGGGCCCCCTCCGGGCAGGCACAGGGCCACCTCCTGAGCACTTGCCACGGCCGGGGTCCTGCTGGCCTCTGTCGGTGTCCCACAGCCCTGGGAAGCAGCTTGGTGTCCCCACTGTGAGGAGGAGAGCACAGGCTCAGAGGCCACCACAGAACCCAGTGGGTGGATGTGGGGAGGGGCCCAGGTCTTCACTGCTCCCAGCGAGGCTGGGCTGCAGGGGCAGGGGCGAGGGCTGCTGTGGGGCTCCTGGAGGACTCCCTGGGAGAGGGGGTGGCACTGAGGGGCAGAGGCAGCAGGACAGGTCTACAGGCAGGTGGCCGCTGGGGCTCAGGAGGCATGGGCGGAGCTGGCCCGCGAAGAGGAGGAGGCGCCTGCCCGTCTGTCTGTTGTCGCCTGTCTCTGTTTCTCCTCTGCTCCTCCCCTGCTGGCTTTGTCCGTCCGTCTGTCCTCTATCTCATTCCCTCCAAGCTTCTCCCTCCCTCCAGGTCTCTGAGTTCTGGGCTCCACCCTCCCTCCCCACCATGGCCATCTTACTGTGCCCTTCAGGGCCTGGACCCCTCGCCTGGGGCCTGTGGGCTGTCTGAGGGTCCTGGACCAGGGGATCCTACTTGGCCCCCCCACACCAGACAGCCCATCTCCCTCCAGCCTGTCTCCCCTCCCCTGTCACCTCCTAGACTGTCAGGAACCTGGATCTTCCCCAAAGAGCCCTTCCCCTTTGCCCAGCTTCCCAGGACCTCCCTCCTGAGTCCCTGGGTCCCCTCAGAGACCTCGGGCTTAGAGGGGGTGCTGGGACCTCAGTGTTGACGGTGGGCTCCTCCCCAGCCTGGGGGATGGGCTCCAGAGGGAAGGGGCAGAGCGTGGGACAGGATTGAGGGAGCCCTAGGGAGGAGAGAGGGTGCAGACGCAGCCTGGGCGGTGGAGGACCCCTAGGGAGACTCACCCCAGAGAAGATGTACTGCTTGACCCAGGCCCCCAGAGACAGAGATGGGGCCTTAGGGCCGGGTCCCCACCAAGGCCTGGAGATGCAGGGTTCAGGGCAGGGTGTCCCTGGGGGCAGGGGCTGGGGCGGCAGCGCTGACGCCCTCCATCCCAGGGCCTCCCTGTGGAGCTCCTGCGTGGTGCTGCCGCTGCTGGCGCTGACCTGGATGTCGGCCGTGCTCGCCGTCACCGACCGCCGCTCCGCCCTCTTCCAGATCCTCTTCGCCGTCTTCGACTCGCTGGAGGGCTTTGTCATCGTCATGGTGCACTGTATCCTCCGTAGAGAGGTGGGTGGGACAGCCTCTGTCGGGCCGGGTTCCTGTAGGGTCCTGGGGCTGCCGGGTGGCCTCCTCCTTCCCCGAGGACTTTGGCAGGGAGATTGTGGGTAGGCGCAGCGTCCGTGGCCCTGATGCATCTGCAGGCCTCGGTGGTCCACAAAGCGGGGTCTGCAGGTGAGCGTGTCCCCCTTACTGTCCCTGGGAGCGGCCCAGGCAGTGCAGCACCTTCCCAAGGATGCCCTGCACCTGGCTTAGGGGTGTGGAGGACATGGGGCCCCCATCCTCAAGGGGCCCCATCCTCAAGGGGCCTACAGGAGCAAGGAAGCCAGCAGCAGAAGTAGACAGCTTCCAGGGCAATACAGACTCCTGCTTCTGGCGTTTTCTGGATCTTTCCAGAAGGTGTCACTAGAAGGTTTTCACCAAACTACATCCCAGCTACCACCTGGTGGCCACAATCGGGATGCTCTTGTGGAGGCTGGAGTGTGGGAAAGCTGCATGTCGACCTCAGTGGACGAGGACACCAGCTTCCAGATCAGCACCAGAAGGGCGGAAGGCCCAGGAGCGGGGTGGCCACCTCCCTCTTCCTGGGTCCCCCTGGAGAGACCACAGAGGGACTATTGAAAAGTACACAGGTTCCCAAGGATGAAGAATTCGGGAGAAGCCGACAGCAGGGGAGCTGGCAGGTGGAGAAGCAGGATGAGAAGTGCGGCCCCAGCTGACTGGAGGCAGCTCAGGCCTCGGCCAGCTGTAGGGAGCCAGACAGAGGGTGGCAGGAGTGGGACCTGACGCCTCCCCAGGATCTCTGGCAGCCACAGGAACGTCAGGCGTGGGTGCCCTGGTTTTCCAGGCCTTAGGTGGCAATTTCCATCCCAGCCTGGAAGGGCAGGGCTGCCCTGCTTGGCCTCCCCGGCCTGGGCCTCACTCCCTGGGCAGAGTGAACAGAGGGGCTCTGGCCTGGGGCAGCCAGCACAGCTGAAGATGGGGGTGCCACCTGGAAACAAGTGGGGAAGTGGACACGCTGAGCCTGGGTCACGTGTCAGCTCTGGCCTCCCAGACCCAAACCTCTGCGGGGAGGTGTGAACACCCCTCTCGAGGCAATCTGATTTCGAGGAAAGACAGGAGGAAGAGCCGGAGTTCTGATGTCCAGCAGTGAAACGGCTCTCATACCAGCCAGCCACCAGCTGGACAGTGCTCCACACTTACATCCCAGCGGCTCCTCATGAGGACAGCAGAGCTCCTGTTAGAGCTGCAACCCACCCAGACAAGCAGGAAAACAGCGTGGGGACAGAGGCAGCCCAGGAAGGAGAAACCTCACTGACCCCTCCTTATCCTCACCTGGGAGAAGTTGCTCACCCTGGTGAGCAACACATGGGCCAGGCCCTGGCCCCAGCAATGAACTCATGTTAGTGAATCTCACAACACCTCCTAAAGCAGGTGCCATCTGCTCCGTTCCACAGACAGGACAGCTCCAGGGAGCTCATCACGGGAGCTTGTCACCATGGCTGGGATTTGAGGCCAGGCAGTTCTCTGAGGCCACACTCCTGGCCCTCAGCACCTGGCTTCTGTGAAACAAGAACAGTAGCCTATGAAAAAGGAACGAGAAGAGACTTGTGGAAATTAAAAACAGAGAGCAGCTCAAAACTCAGTAGAAGGAAAATGGAGGCAAAATGTTTCACAAAATAGAAAAGATGGAAATTGGAGAGATTTCTCAAGCAACTAGGCGAATCCCCAAGGACCAACTGACCGGTGATGGAGCTGCAAGGGAGACAGTGGAAAGGAGGAGCTCCAGGCAGGCAGAGCCCGGGGCCACCTGGAGCAGAGAGCTGGCGCTGGGGGTCTCAGATGTGCAAGAAGCCTCATGGTTGTCACATGGGGTCAGAGGAGGGGACCCGGCATGCTCCCATGGTGGCTGGGGACAGAGGACACCAGGGCCAGACTTCCCTGAAGCCCCCAGTGAGCTCCCAGCCCCTGCGTGTGGGTTGCATGCTGCAGGGCCTTCAAGGTCCTGCCCAGAGACGGCTTCCGCCTGGGCCTGGTAGCAAGGGGCCTCGAGCCCTACCCTGGTCCTCAGCCTCAGGGGTGGTGGCCAGGGCTGCAGGGCGCGCTGAGGAGGCTGGGCCAGGTGGAGGCCATGCCAGGCAGCCCAGCCGGCCCTGTGGCCTGGGACACTCCTGCAGATGGGCAAGTCAGTCCCTTATCTACCAATGAAGCCGGGGCCTCCTGGGCTAAGGCTGGCTCGGGCGTTCCCGGAGAGGGTACTGGAGGGACTTGGGGAGCCCCAGCTCCTCTGCTCGCCCACAAAGAACACTTCGCTACTTACCTGTGGGACCGGGCACACGGTAGGTGCCCAGTAGGCATTTGCAGGGCAAGTCCGTGAGGGAGAGGATGGCAGGAAGGCACACCTGCCGTGGCGGCCTGGAGTCCTTAGCTGGTGTCCAGGGATCAGAGGCCAGCGAGACCCTGGCTTCCAGGCCTGGCCCTGCCTCTGACCAGCTGTGAAGCCATGGACAATTCTCTCACCCACTCTGGGCCTCGGTCCCCATCTGCCTGATGAGAGGGGTGGGCTGGGTGTCCTCAGCCCCCCAGCAGCATGAAGCAGAGCACTGGGTGAGGGAATGGGGCCACAGGTCCGTGGTTGAGTGGGTAGGTAGGTGGGTGCCTGGAAACCAGGAGCCCCAGCTTGCCCTCTTTCTGCTTCTGCCAACTTCTATTTGGATGCCTCCTCCAGGAAGCCCTCTGTGTTTTCATGCCCCCCCACCCCAAGGATTCCTTTATACACTGTTACCACCGGACGGAGTGTCAGTGTGCTGCCAGAGCAGCCAGCAGGAGGTGGCTGCTGGCCCCAGGGGAGGGACAGTTGACATTCCTAGATGATGTCTTTACCTCCTTGGGAGCTCCCTGTCCATAAGCTCTGTGCTGGCCGCTGGGTAGGTCTTCCTCTGTAGCCCCTCCTACAGAGCCTGCTGCCGTCATCACCACTGTCCCCCCGAAGAGTGGGTGGCCGCGAAGGGTGAAATCCCCCTTGACAGAGTGTGCCGTTCCCAGTGGGGTGGCTGTGGGGAAGGGCCAGGCTCACGGTCCCTGGCACAGCACCCCACGACCCCAGCGGACACTCCCAGGGCACTGAGGGCCAGGCTTTCCACTGGCTCAGAGGCGGCAACGACGCTAAGGCTGCTGGAGATGCAGGCCGGGCCCAGCGACATCTTCGGCCCGCCGCAGGTCATTGCAGGTTCTCTCAGGCAGACCCTGGCCCGAGGGCCTGCAGCAGCTCTCGGCGGCTGGGAGCTCGGTAGAGAGAATCTCAGGGGAGGGGTAGGCTCTTCCCTTCCTGGGGTCTCGTTTCCCCTTCTCCACCCAGTGGGTCATGACCCTGCAGACCAGAGGTGGCCCTGTGAGGAGGCCTCCCGCTGGGGGCCCTGCCCTTCCCCGAGACGCCCGCCCCCCCATCCCCCACCCCGGAGATGCTGCTCACCTGATCTGGAGCTGGCGCAGGGTAGGGGCGTGGCTACCACTGAGGTGCGCGGCTCTCCCTCCCCAGGTCCAGGACGCTGTGAAATGTCGTGTGGTTGACCGGCAGGAGGAGGGCAACGGAGACTCGGGAGGCTCCTTCCAGAACGGCCACGCACAGCTCATGGTAGGACTCAGGGCCCGGGGACTCAGGCTGCCCCACCTACCTTGTACCCCTGCCGGGTGCCTCCAGGCCCTCACCGTGCCCCAAGCTCCCCTAGGCCCCAGCAGCCCTGCTGAGAGGAGCTCTGAACCCAGTGTGCAGCTGGGAAAACTGAGGCTCGCCAAGTGGAACCCCTGGTCCGGGGTTTCCAGCTGGGAAGGGCTGAGCTGAGTTTGGAGGTCTCAGCGGAGGCTGCGTCCACCCCACACTCACCCCGGCTGGCAGCGGTGCCTGTCTGGCTGGACACCGCCCTCTGAGCATCCCAGCCCTCATCTCAAGGTCCCCATCCTCACGCCTCCTAGGCCCACCCTCATCACCCTCCATCCCCACCCAGGAGTGTCCTGCTCAGCTGCCACCTAGGAGTCCAGCCTAGCCCGCCCATCCCCTGCCCCTACCCTGCGTATTCTCACCTGCTGCCTTCCTGGTGCTCCCTGGGTGCTGCCCAGGCCTCAGCCCCTGCAGGGGTGGTGGCCCTCCCTGGTGGCCCCTGGGCATCCTGCCTTCACCCTCTATGGGCTCTCTGCCCTCGCCCTGCCCGTCCTGGTGTCCTCAGCCCTGTGTTCTGCACCCCTGCTCCTGCCCGCGCCTGGGGCCCGCCCTCTCTACAGCACAGCATTCCCAGGACACGCACAGGCCCTGGGAGGGCGGCCCGAGTGGCGGCTCCTACATAAGGGCCCCCAGCAGCCCCCCATGGAGCCTCAACTCTTCACACCTTGACCTCAGCATCTTCTTCCTGCAGCCCTGTGCCCCCGGGGCCCAGCCAGGACCGTGGTGGGCTCTTAGTCACCAAGTCTGCTCCCACCCACACCCGTCACTAGACCTCCTGCCTCAGCACCGGGGGCTGGCACACGGGGTGGAGCCGGGCCCCTTCTCCACCCTCCAGGCCTCAGAACAACATCCACGCCCTGGCCTGGTGCTAAGCAGAACCCGCAGCTGTGCTGGTCTTGCTCCTGCCCCTGTGTCCTTCATACAAGCTTCCGCCCTAGGGGTTGCCCACCCTGCACACTCCCGTGGGTCCCCTCCTCCAGGGAGTCCTCCAAGCTTCCACCCCAGGGGTTGCCCACCCTGCACGCTCCCGTGGGTCCCTCCTCCAGGAGTCCTCCCTGACTCTTGTCCTTTCGGGCCACCTGTTTGGGCTTAGGCCACACCCCAGGTGAACTCTGCACGGCTGGCATGCGGGAGGTGCTCCCAGGGTCCCGGGGTGCCTGGCCATCTCATGGTGGTCGTGAAGCTCACAGACAGATGGCATGTCCAGCCCTGGGTGAGGGTGAGGTCCTTTGGTGAGACGGCCACCTCGGCTCTCAGGTGACATCCAGGCAGGCCCCTCACGGCTCCATGCCACAGTATCTCCATCGGCCAGGGCGCAGGTGTCCGCCAGTGGCTAGCTTGTCACTTTGGGACACAGCTTCCCCCCACCCCCCCCCCCGTGTTTCTCCTGGCCTGACCTCTGATCCCAGGGGGAAGATTTCGTTGTCTCCAGCCAACCCAACCCCTGCATTTGCAGGGAAGAAACCTCCAGGTTTTCGGTGAAGGGCAGGCCTGTCCCCTGGAGCCCCAGGGCCCCTGGAGAAGGACAGCCCCAGGCCTGGGCAGGCCCTGAGCTCCCTGAGGGTGGGCCTGGGCCGCCCCCTGCTGCCTCCCCAGCTGACTGTCAGCCTGCTGTGGCTGCCTGAGGTGGTGGGTGCTGGCCTTGGCCCTGAATTGCATGTTTAACCCCCCTCCACCACCTCTCCCCAGCCCGTGGGTAGGACCCCCTTGGAGGGATGTGGGAGACCAAGGGTGAGAGTTCTGGTGCCACAGGCCCAGGCCTAGGGGGAGAGACGAGACCAGAGGAGGCGGGAGGTCCTCAGCTCCCCAGATGCCTTGCAGAGAGCACACGTGTGCTATACAGACAGGCTCACACACACGTACGTGCGTGCACGCACACAACCTCAGAAACACACAGAGCCACATACAGAGATATACACACACGTGCATGCACCAAACACTCAGACGCATTCTCTCACGTTTACAAACACATAAATCCACACGTAAACACGGGGACACAAATTCACCACTTTGATACACAGACATATCTATAAGCACGCATGCGCGCTCACACTCACACATGCATCCATCCAGAGACGCAAACGCCCGCCACACGGGCAAGCGCATAGGGAGGCGCGGTCGCCCACGTGGGCACTGGGCTGTGAACGTGGATGGGGGTTCCTTGGGGCAGCCGAAGCACCGTGGCCCTCCCGAGTGATCTGTGCGCGCGTGCACACAGCCCCGCTCCCAGAGGCGCTCACCCTGCCCTGCCGTCTCTGTCCTACAGACCGACTTCGAGAAGGACGTGGATCTGGCCTGTAGATCAGGTGAGCGCCCGACAGGTGAGAGGACAGTGCCAGCCCGACCCCCTGCACGGCCCCACTCCATGCCTCCACCTGTGCATCACCCACATCACTCATCCCTGTCCACCCCTGCCGCCCCCACCCACACCCAGCCACACCATCAGGCCCACCCGGACCCAGGGGACCTGCCCTGGGGGCCCAGCCGAGGCAGCGACCTTGGCCACCTTGCCTCCCACCCCCGCCCACGCCCCAAGGCCGAAGGAGGGTCCACGGGGCATGATCAGAAGCTTCCAGAACACCGCCCTGGCATTCCTACTGGGTAGGTGCCCGTGTAGCCCCTGGCTGCCTCCCCTGCCCACCTGGCATCTCCTCTTCCTCTGTCATGCCTCCAGCTTGGAGCACAGCCCCACCCCAGTGCCCCTCCCCCCACCCACCTCCTGCCTGCCCCCCTCTAGCACCTGTGTTCTGTGCCACCTTCATTTCCTCATTACCAGTCCCAGCAGGGGGAGAAGTGAGTGGGGCTTTCGGGCTAGGGCGAAAATGGGGAGCAAGAGGAAGGCGGGGAGAAGGACCCACCATGGAGCCCTCGGCCGGTGCTGAGCTTCCTGGAACCAAGTGCAAAAAGGGAATGACTGCCCAATAAAGGAAGCTCTGCCGCCCATCCCCAAGCATCAGACTGGGAGGGTCTGTTTCTGCCCCCACCACTGTTCTGAGTGCAGTGACAGGCGGTGGCTTTCTAGGCTGTGGAGAGGCCAATGGACCATGCACCCTCTGGTCATTTAGATATTTGAGGAGCACGTTCTCTAAAGACAGCCCTGGCAGAGGAGCTGGGACAGCCCCAGGTGGGGAGTGTGTGCTGGTACCAGTTGGGCCCCAGGAGGGCTTCCTGGCGGAGGTGACATCAGGGCTGGGCTGAATGGGAGCTGGACAAAAAGCACTTTCTGCTCCCTTGGGGTCTCCTGTGATCCAGTCCCACAGCCTCTCCATGGGGTGGCCCCGGGACTTGGAGCCTCAGGTGGCTTTGGTGTGTGGGGGCCTCTCTGGGCCCCTGATTCCCTCTCATTCGTGCGCTGTGTGCGGTGCCTTCTGGATCGCATGCAGCTAGTGGATGCGCCATGAGCAACTGGTGCTGAGTGTCTGGGAGCTTCCTCAAAGGAGGAGGGTGGGCGGGGCACCAGCGAGGGGCCTGGGCCTGGGGGGAGCTTGGCTTTTATTCTGCCCTGAGCTGGGCAGATGCGAGGGAGGCATCCAGATCCCTCACATGCCAGGCACTCATTCTGCCTTGTGGGAAGCAAAGCGTGAGGTGTGGGGGGAGGTCGGGAGCCCCAGGGTCTGTGCGGGGTGGGGCGGCCTTGGGGACGTGTGTCCTGAGAGTGCTGTGGCCGTCCGGGTGGGGCCTGTGGGTTGACGGGGAGGATGACGGGTTGCTCTCGGGTGGGGATGGTGGGGGCGGGCTGAAGATGGGCGCAGGGTGTTGCTGTCCAGAGGGTGGAGGAGAGGACGGGGCCAGGAGCACAGCCTGCCGAGCTCTGAGGGGGAGAGGGAAGGCCTGTGTTTGGGAGAGTGAGTGCCCCCCTGGCAGGTACCCTGGGGCCTGTGTGCCTAGCAAGGTGGCTGAAGGGAGCAGCTGCTCAACACAGGCTGGATCCAGGGCTGGCTTGGTGTGTGGGTAACCGTCTGGCAGCCTGCACAGGGCAGGACACGGGCCGGGCCAGGCTTCCCAGGAAGGGTCCCAGGGTCTGGATCTTTGGAGACTGGGGCTTGGAGAAGGAGGGATGTGGAGGGTGGACACCCCTCTAGCAGGGGCAGGTGGCTGGGTGAGGGTCAGCCTGGGGCTCTCTGCCAACCAGGAGGGGCTGGATTCATTGACAGGAGGTGGGGGGCAAACTGGAGCCCCACTCAGAGGTCAGGGCAGCTGGGGTCCTTGCAGCTGACCAGAGACAGAATCGAGAGGTGTCTGGGGATGGGGACTTTTCTCCAGGGACTGGGAGGCCCTCAGGGCAGAGTGGGGAGGCTTGCAGGCCCCAGGGGCAGCAGTGCAGGAAGGGCTGTGACAGAGGGCCAGGGCCTCACGGCTGCCACTCAGTACCACTGGGGCTCCCCCACACTGTCCCCCAACCACACCGGGCCCAGGGCCATGGGCGTTGGGAGCACTGGGGTTCGGCTGGGCTCTGCCACAAGAACAGGCCATTCTGCCTGTGTCCCTGTGCTTCCGGGAGTTGGAGGCCGCCCCGCGTGCTCTTCTCAGTGCTGGGGAGGGCAGTGTGTGGGGTGGCAGCCATTTGTCGTCTTGGGGCTGGCGGAGAGGGACACCCTGTGTGGCAGCCTCATCTGAGGACACAGGAACCCTAGGGGGTGCAGCACCAGGCCTGGGTAGGGTGGTACCTGCAGTCGGCCCTCAGATCGGACCCAGCAGGACCTGGCCGGGTCTCCCAGGAGGTGGCGGCCTCACAGGGCAGACTGGGCCGCTTTCCTGCTGGGGACCGTCCTACGCTGTCCTCACCCCCACACCTGTCCCCGCTGTCTCCCCCGCGGCCCCTGCAGTGCTGAACAAGGACATCGGCCTGCCGTACAGCCACCATCACGGGCACACTGAAGCGGCCGTCTCTGCCTGAGGAGGAGAAGCTGAACTGGCCCATGCCAAGGGGCCGCCCACCAATTTCAACAGCCTGCCGGCCAACGTGTCCAAGCTGCACCTGCCACGGCTCACCCCGTTATCCCGGCGGGCCCCTGCCCGACTTCCCCAACCACTCACTGACCCTCAAGAGGGACAAGGCGCCCAAGTCCTCCTTCGTCGGTGACGGGGACATCTTCAAGAAGCTGGACTCGGAGCTGAGCCGGGCCCAGGAGAAGGCTCTGACACGAGCTACGTGATCTTACCCACGGCCACGGCCACGCTGCGGCCCAAGCCCAAGGAGGAGCCCAAGTACAGCATCCACATTGACCAGATGCCGCAGACCCGCCTCATCCACCTCAGCACGGCACCCGAGGCCACCCCTCCCTGCCCGCAGCCCGCCCTCCCGCCAGGCCCCCAGTGGCGGGCCCCTGAGGCGCCCCCTGCCCAGCCCCCACCGCCCCCGCCCCCACCTCCCCACCTCCCCAGCAACCCCTGCCCCCACCGCCCAGTCTGGAGCCAGCACCCCCCAGCCTGGGGGAGCCCGGGGAGCCTGCGGCCCATCCGGGACCCAGCACGGGGCCCAGCACCAAGAACGAGAATGTCGCCACCTTGTCTGTGAGCTCCCTGGAGGTGAGGGGGCAGGGGTGGGCTGCACCCCAGCCAGCGATGGCAGCAGCTGGGTCACCCCTGCTGGGTGGGACCCCCACGCCGTCAGCGGGGCGGACTGTGTTGGGACCCAGGCATGCTGGCTCTGCCTCCCAGCTGCACCCCCCACCCCTGGCCCTGCTGGGTGTGCTGAGTATGTCTGACATGTGGTCCCCACGCTAGGCTTGGCAGCGTGGTCTCACCCCCGTTTCAAAGGGGCTCAGGGATCCACAGTCTGTACCCACGAAGCAGGACCTGCACCTGCACAGTCGCTAGTCCAGCCCGTGGGGCAGCCTGGCAGCACGTACCTGCCTAGGTCAGCCTGGAGCCTGCAGCGGACCTGGCCTCAGTCGGCCCGCAGCATGTGGTTTTTGGGGGAGCCTGTCCCCACCACCTGGCTCCTGGCCTCTGGTGATGCTGCCCTGTGTCCCTGAGTTCTCTGTTGGGGGACCCAGCCATGTGGCCCCGAGTTCTCTGTCGGGGAGACCCAGGCATGTGTCCCTGAGTTCTGTCGGGGGACCCAACCATGTGGCCCTGAATTCTCTGTCGGGGACCCAGCCATGTGGCCCCGAGTTCTCTGTCGGGGGACCCAGCCATGTGTCCCTGAATTCTCTGTCGGGGAACCCAGCCATGTGGCCCCGAGTTCTCTGTCGGGGAGACCCAGGCATGTGTCCCTGAGTTCTGTCGGGGGACCCAGCCATGTGGCCCCGAGTTCTCTTGTCGGGGGACCCAGCCATGTGTCCCTGAATTCTCTGTCGGGGAACCCAGCCATGTGGCCCCGAGTTCTCTGTCGGGAGACCCAGGCATGTGTCCCTGAGTTCTGTCGGGGACCCAGCCATGTGGCCTGAATTCTCTGTCGGGGGACCCAGCCATGTGGCCCGAGTTCTCTTGTCGGGGGGACCCAGCCACGTGTCCCTGAATTTTCTGTCGGGGGACCCAGCCATGTGGCCCCGAGTTCTCTGTCGGGGAGACCCAGGCATGTGTCCCTGAGTTCTGTCGGGGGACCCAGCCATGTGTCCCTGAATTCTCTGTCGGGGAACCCAGCCATGTGGCCCCAAGTTCAGGTCTCCTTGATCCTGGGGAGTGAGTCGTGAGCAGGGGAGCTGAACACCCCAGCCCCGCCCTGGGGCTGCTCGCTGGCACCCAGCGCATAGCTGGAGGAGCTGCCTCCGTGCGTCCCCAGGCATGTCCCCCGGGTCTGGCCTGGTCCCTGAAGGCAGGGATGAGATGAGCAAGTCCCTGATGCCCTCAGTGTCAGGCAGGGAGAGGCGTGGACTTGTCAGGAGATTTTAGGGACCCTTGGCGAATGTTCACGAACCCTTCTCCCTGCAGCGGCGGAAGTCTCGGTATGCAGAACTGGACTTTGAGGTGAGTCCTGGTGTCCCCCTCCCCCAGACACTTAGGGCCAGATGTGCTCTGAGCTCCCACACGGCCAGGCAGCTCCCCGGGAGCCAGGGGACGGGCGGGACGGGCGGGGCGGGCAGGGTGGGCTCCTGGCCCAGGACTCATTGTCCAGACCCTGCCTGCAGAAGATCATGCACACCCGGAAGCGGCACCAAGACATGTTCCAGGACCTGAACCGGAAGCTGCAGCACGCAGCGGAGAAGGACAAGGAGGTGCTGGGCCCGGACAGCAAGGTCTGAAGGGCAGGGAGGGGCGGGGTGGGGAGAGCCCTTAGGTCAAGCCTCGTCTCCCTTCTGCCCTGGCTTTGCCCACTTCATCCACTCATTCATTCATTCATTTGCCTGTCCCTGAGGGCCGGCCTGACCCTGCCATGCCAGACTCTGGAGGCCATGGCCATGCTGGGAGCTGAGCGGTCACGAGCCTGCTCCTGGGGCCAGGGGTCTGGATTAGGGTGGAGCCAATCCAGCGCAGGGCCCCCATAGCCTGACCCGACCATGGGGTTCACAACCTCTGCCAAGGCTGGGGAGAGGATCTGCGCCTGCCGCTGCCCAGCTGTGTTCTGGGCTCTTGTCCTGAAAGCCTCATCCTGTCCCCTGTCTGTCCCCCACCTCCCGTCCCTTCCTCACTGATTCGTGTCTGCCTCCTCCCCCCGCTCCTCGGGCTCATGGCTCTCCCTCCGGGCCCCACCCTCCTGCACTACTGGGCCACCCAGCAGCCAGAAAAGCAGCAGACGCCCAACAAGAGGCCTTGGGAGAGCCTCCGGAAAGCCCACGGGACGCCCACGTGGGTGAAGAAGGAGCTGGAGCCGCTGCAGCCGTCGCCGCTGGAGCTTCGCAGCGTGGAGTGGGAGAGGTCGGGTGCCACGATCCCGCTGGTGGGCCAGGACATCATCGACCTCCAGACCGAGGTCTGAGCGGGTGGGCGGCGGCCACGCACTGGGCCATGGAGGAGGGATGCTGCTCCGCTCGCTCCTGCCGCAGACGGGCACAGACACGCTCGCGGGCGGCGGGCCAGGCCCGCGCCCCGGCCTCAGGGCGCTCAGACGGCGGCCAGGCACAGGGCCCGCAGTGCTGGGACCAGAGCCAGATGCAGGACAGGAGGCAGCCCGGCCAGCGGGCACAGGGCACCAGAGGCTGAAGGTGACTCAGACTCTGCCCTCCTCGGGCCGAGGCCCGGCGGGCAGATGGGCAGACGGCTGTGGACCATGGACAGGCCCAGTGCGGCCAGCGTCCCAGGGTGCCCACCTGAGCTCCTGCTGCGGAGGACCAGCCTGCTTGGCCCGGCCGGCCTGGCACCGTTTTTTAAACACCCCCATCCCTTGGGAAGCAGCCAGCCCCCTACACCTTCCAGGGCCCTGGGCCCCTCCTAGACCCAGGTGGAGAGCACAGCCCTCCGACCCTCACGGCCCCCAGGGGCAGGACTGAGCCCCCTCCAGGAAGAAGCAGGGGGGAATCTATTTTTTCTCTCCTTTTCTTTTCTTCAATAAAAAGAATTAAAAACCCATGTCGTCTCTGTGTGGTCTCCCTCTGCGTGGCCCGGTGTCCTGGCCCAGCCCTGGCTGCTGGGGTGAAGTCCTGCCTGGCCTTGGTGTCCCCTCATCCCTGGGCCAGGAGGACTGGGGAGGCCACGTGGGCCCTGCAGCTCCTGCCTTGCCCTGGGCCTGGACGTCTGGGCCTTGGGCTCCCAGGCCAGCGGCCGTGTGGCTCCCAAGGCGTCCCCTCTCCCTGGGGCTCTGGGAACATTCAGGGAGCCCCAAGTGCTGGTGCCCTTGGCTCCCTCCTGACCCTTCTCAGCACATGAGCTTCACACAGCTCTGAGGCCCCTCAGTGGGGACACATTCGACTCTCCTTGTTCCTTTAGTCATTTTCAGGAGGGACAGAATGAACACACCGATTCTTTAAAATAGTCTGACACAGTGGAAATTCATGTGGGGGCAGGGACTCCAAGGGAGGGAGGAAGCCTCCCTTTCAGTGCTCCCCCTCCTTCCCGCCCACCTGGGGCCCTGCCCTTCTCTGCTCCTGCCTCTGCCCTGGGGCAGGCACAGTTCTGGGTCCCCTCTTCATTGCTGGGAGCACTTCCTGTCCCCAGGCCTGGGTCCTGTCTGCCCCGGGGGGGAATGGGGAGCACATGTGAACACTCCTAGGCCCTCCCCCACCAGCCCAAACGGAGGCCCCTCCTTCCCTGCACCCTCCTCCCACCCCAGGAGCTTTGAGATGCACGTCCTGCCTTCCTCTGTGTCTCCAGCAGGGGGCAGCCTGAGCCCCCGAAGGGAGGCTGGTTGGGGGAAGCCACAAGGCTGGCAGGGACAGTAGCGGGGAAGGAGGGGCCCCCCTCAGACTGTGCACTCCACCCTGCAGGGCCCCAGGACCAGGAGAAAATTGCACAGAGACTGGGCTGTGAGAGCAATGCCGCCCCAAGCTGCAGAGGGGGCTACAGCCTGGCATCCCCCTCGCCCCCCTGCAGGCTCAACTGTGCCTTGTCACACCTCCTGACCCCAGAGTCCTCACCAGCAGAGGAGGCGGGACGGGGGAGGTGCTTGTGGGTGCGGTGACCGCAGTGACCGTGGGTGATCACAGATGGTCACGTGTGGCCATGACTGACTGCACTGAGTGGGTGGATGTGGAGTGGATGTCTGGGAACGGGGCGGTGTGTCTGCAGTGACCCAGAGGAGATGGTGCAAAGTCCCTGGGTTCCAGCAGTTGAGAAGCACAGTCCCTGAGTCGCAGATCTGAGCACCCCCAGAAAACCAGAATGTTTTGGCGAGATTGGACAACAAAACCCGATGAAAACCGAGTCACACTGTATCTCTAAAGCTCCTTTGAACCGCTGCATGCACACGCGTGTATGTTCTGCAGCAGGGATGCTAATGCATTTTTTTATGCTCCTCCCAGGATACTAAGTGAAATATCACACACATCACACCTTCTTTCTTAACCCAAACAGTTTCCACTTGGCACCGGGGTTTCAGGTAAGAGGCTGTGGACTGTGGTCCCTTCCTCATCCGTAGTTACGGAAAGAAACTAAGGATGGCCCCTGGGAGCAGGTGGAGAAAGCGCTGAGCGCCCAGCTCCCCCCCTGCAGAAGGCAGCACAGAGCCTGGGGCAGGTTTTGGAGGTGGGGCTTCCACTCAGGTCACCCCATCCTTGTAGAGGGGCCAGAGCAGGTTCTTGGTCAGCTCCCTGACCTGCTGGCCCCATGTTCACACCCAGTGACAGGAGAAGCTGCAACAAAACAAAACAACGAATAACAAGAAGGGACCCAAGCCACACAGCCCTGCATGCAAGGGAAGCAACTCAGGACAGTGTGAGCCGCTGGGGTCAGACACACAGAGTGACCAGGAGCAGGAGCAACTAAGGACAGTGTGAGCCACTGGCGTCAGACACACAGAGTGACCAGGGTCAGGGCTCACAGTGTGCCCAGGTCAGGGATTAGCCTGTGACCAGAATAAGGGTTCAGCCTGTGGCCGGGATCAGGGCTCAGAGTGTGGCCAAGGTCAGGCTCAACGTGTGATTGGGGCAGGGCTCAGTGTCCCCATGGTCAAGACTAAGTGGCAGCCAGAGTCCCGTTTCTCCTTCACTGTGTTCCGCCCCTCCCAGAAGGCCATGTCTGTGCCAGGAGAAGCTATATCCTGTGTCCTGCCCTGGCCCCAGCGTTCACAATGACGCATCACAGAAATTGCTCTCTTCCCCTGTCTCTCAGAGCAGGAAGCTGGCCAGGGATCATCCCTGGAGATTCATCAAACCCTTGGGTCTGCCCCAGGCACCTTCTTGTGGTGAGCCGTGTGCTGGTCAGTGCTTTGGGCCCGAGGCCATGGAGATGCCCCAAGCTGGAACAGGTGCCTCTTCCCAAACTTCTGCTGGTTTCCCTCTGCTTCATCCAGCTGCTCGCAGTGATGTGCTCTTGGCACTGAGCAAGGCAGGGACCACGATTCTGTCTGTAGGAGAGGATACCCAGACTCAGGCTGGCTGGCGTCCCACAGGCGTTGAGAGCAAGGCTATACCCACAACGCAGCGCCCCCACCTCAAATTCCCTGACCCTCCCCACAACGGGGTGCTTTCCTGAGGGTACCAGTGGCACATCCATCTGCCACTCCCTCCACCTGAATCTACTCCTTTCCTGTGGAGTCCAGGGCTGACCAGTTTGCCAGAAAGATCTTCATGGGCCTTGTGTTTACTCTATTGTCTTGGCCTCCTTGTACAAGTGCCACCCTCCTCAGCAACATGTCACTGGTGAAGTTGAGACCACCTCCTCTGACACCCTCCATCTGTCACCATCAGCAGCACCTGCCCTTGGGATAACTGCTGGACTGAGAATGGTGGAGGCCACTGTGATAGGCAGGAGCACTGTGGGGGCCAAAGGTGGGGGTGACAGTTTTGTGGACAGATCTGGGGCTGGAGATATTGGTGGTTGTGATGATGATGGTGATAATGATGGTGACAGTAGTGCTGATGGTGATAATGGTGGTGATGGTTGTGACGGTGATAGTGGTGATGATGGTGATGATGATGGTGATAATGATGATGATGGTGGTGATGGTGATGATATTGGAGAGTGATTTTGGGTGCTGGTGATGCCCAAGACAGCAGACACCATGATCTCTGTTGTAATGATGGTGCTTATAGGTTTGGAAATTATTTTTTATTTATTTATTTATTTTTTAAACGGAGTCTCGCTCTATCGCTCAGGCTGGGGTGCAGTGGCCGGATCTCAGCTCACTGCAAGCTCCGCCTCCCGGTTCACGCCATTCTCCTGCCTCAGCCTCCCGAGTAGCTGGGACTACAGGTGTCCACCACCACACCCAGCTAGTTTTTTGTACTTTTTTTAGTAGAGACGGGGTTTCACCATGTTAGCCAGGATGGTCTCGATCTCCTGACCTCGTGATCTGCCTGTCTCGGCCTCCCAAAGTGCTGGGATTACAGGCTTGAGCCACCACGCCCGGCCAAGTTTGGAAATTATTATCTTGCCAGCTTACTCTGTTCCTCACTCCCATAAACTGGGAGTGTCTGGAGGATGGATGGGTGGAAGGATGGATGGGTGGAAGGATGGATGGGTGGAAGGATGGATGGGTGGATAGATGGAAGGATGGATGGGTGGAACGGTGGAAGGGTGGATAGATGGATAGATGGATGGATGAAAGGATGGACAAATGGGGGATGGACGGATGGTGATGAACAGATGGATAGATGGATGTGTGGATGGATGAATAGGTAGATAAATGGATGGGTGGATGAGTGGGTGGATGGACAGGTGGGTGGATGAGTGGGTGGATGGATGGATGGTGGATGGATGGACGGATGGATGGAGGATGGATGGGTAGATGGAAGAAAGGATACATAAGGACAATGACTAGAGTCTCTGAGTCACCTGGAGGTGGAGCAGACAGGAGTGGCAGCCACCCAGGCGCTGTGCGTCTCGTCAGCACCCACACTCCTGAGATGAGGAGGAAGCTCCTTCACACCTAACTCCTATCTGCTCATTCCCCTTCCTGTCACCGACACAAACAATGCCAGAAGGGGAAGGAAGCCTAAGAAGGTTTCCCCACCCCCTGCACCAAGTGGCTTTGTCTCTAGGCAGGCCAGAGGCTCTTTCCGGCAAGGCCCTTCACAACCACCTCTCTCACCCCACTTCCCTGGCCCCAATCCAGCAGTAATAGAGCTTGCTGTCGGGAAGTCCTTCCTCGAGTCTAACCTGCATGCCTTGTGCTGCAACGTGAGGGCCCCTTTTCCCCTCAGCAGACTCTGCTCTTTGGTTCGCCCTCTTCCCCTTCTCCATCCTGACTGACCCCACCCCCTCACCACTGTCTGGGCTGCATCATGACCATTCAGTGGGGCTGTCCCCTAACCTCTATTGGTCTCATTAAAGATGAAGGCCACACCCTCCTGCTGGGTCCACCCACCTCCCCAGGCCCTGCTTCCCAGAAGGCTCAACTCCAGAGGAGCAATTGCATAATGTGTGCCCTACTCCAGAATTTGTTCCAGAACCTTCCATTAGCCAGGAGTTCCCTTTTCAGCCCTGCTGCCCCCACCCCCAGCTCCCTATGATCTGTCCTGAAACAGGAAGCAGGGGAGGCATCTGCGTAGGAGTGCAGGGCCTGGGGAGGCCTGGGCCTGGAGGGGGAGTGCAGGGCCTGGAGGGGCCTGGGCCTGGAGCGGGAGTGCAGGGCCTGGGGAGGCCTGGGCCTGGAGGGGGAGTGCAGGGCCTGGGGAGGCCTGGGCCTGGAGGGGGAGTGCAGGGCCTGGAGAGGCCTGGGCCTGGTAGGGGCTGTGTCTGGAGTGCAGGGTCTGGAGGGCCCCTGGCAAGGGTTCTGAAGTGCCCCTGAGGTGACAGAGCAGCTGGTGTCTCACCCAGGCACTGCCCACCCCGCTCCAGCTGCTCACCACCCTGGGAGGTAAGCAGGGTCAGGAGGGACCAGGCAGACTTTTCTGACCAGCGCCATCTCCCCAGCCCTGCTACAGCCCCACAAGCTTCTTGGCTCTGAGGCATGGTCCTGGGGAGGGCCGAGC